CAACTAGGATTATTCTGTCAGAATAATAAAAAAAATTTTACTTATCTGATTAAAAGTTTGGTCAATTTTAGATGAGTATATAGTTAGCTCTTTTTATTTGTATTGGCATTGGAGGTGAGATAGTGTCACAGGTGTTCAGATCTTTTTAATTAATTTTTTTTTAAACCTAGGATATACGACATGCCTTTTTTTCCTTAGGAGATGTCAAATTCAGGTGAATTTATTTTGTCTTTACTGAGTGTATAAAACCTGATGATGTGAGACTGACATCTAGAAGCAGATGAATGGTAGGGAAACAGAAATTCAAAAGTATACAGGGTCCATAGAATTAATAATTGGGAATGGCCTCTGACAAAAAATACAAGTTTTTATGTAATATCTTGTTGTTATCCTAAGATGCAGTAGGTGAAAAGACATTTATTTTTTGAAGACCTCAGAAGCATGAAAAGTTTACATGGTTTATATGGGTGTTTTTCCATTGGTTAATGAAACAATGTAGTTTTTATCAAATTATATAATAGAATCATTATGATATAAAACTTAAGATTTTTTAAAAAAATATAGCTTATCTACCTCCTTCAAATGATTTTTTTCAGAGAGCTCTTCCATCAGTGTTAGAGATGGTTTCCATTGCATGTCATCCCGTGTGGCAGGGCTGCACCATTCTGTGTGTGTAGGTGTTTGTTTTAACATTTCTAACCAGCTATCTGTCCCCAAACCAAGGCACCCAGAAGTTCTTCCTTTTCTAGCCTGCCTCTTGATGATTTGGATCTAGAGGCAACCCACATTGTTTTGTCTAGATGCTTATTTAACAAATCTCTCTATTTTAATAATAAAAAGGTTATACCTTTTTAAGTGGTGAGAAAACTTAATGATCTATCTAGTAAAAGTCCTAAAAATGAAAAAGCATCTCCTAATAATTTTCTCAGCTTTGGAGAAGTAACTAAATTTTTAAAAATAGAAATTCTAGATATCTAAATATAATTTTCTAGTGCTTTGTATTAGTACCAACGAAAAGGTAGAATCTCTATCTGCTAATAGATTAATAACTAATGTTATGATAAAAATCATCTCACATGAAACTAATTTTAAAATAATG